TCCCTTTTTAATTGTGGTTTTGTTTTTTTTTTTTTTTTTTTTAGAATATTGATAATTGTACAGACACTTTCACAAATATCTGCATCTCCCTTTTTATAATGAGACCGCAAATGACAAGGCAGCAGCTAAATGATGAGGTTGTAGCTCTGAAAAGCAAACCCTCGAGGTTATAGTGAATCACAAACTAGGAATGAGTCAGAAATGTCATACTGCTGTCAAGAGTCAAGAAGAGAGTGATGAGAGTGACCTATGAAGAAAGACTGAAATAAGTCAGTCCAGAAGGAGGTAAAATGGGCAAACCAGACCGTTGCAGAGGGAGACATACATCATCGCTCTGCATGATCACTGGAAAATAATAGGAGGAGCAAGGAGATTATATTGCAAAATAATATTGTACCTGTGAAGTGAGGACAACACTGTCATTACCTAGGAGGATTGGATTATGTCCATCACTAGAAATCTGAAGAGCAGGTTAGACAAACATCTTTCAGGAACAGTTCAAGTTAATCCTGCCTTGAGACAAGGGACTGCACTAAAAGCACTTAAGATCCCTTCCAAGGGAGTTTTCAGGATTTATCCTGCCAGGAGCTTTTCTGATCTCTGCAGTGCGGCAGAAAATGCAATACTCTGAACTGCCCTACAGAGGCTGAAAGTGTGCAGCTTTTGTTAAATCATCTTTCGGGTTTCCATTTCTGTTTTAGTCTTCCGGTTCAGGAATGTCATTATGAGAACAGACTATTTCATGTTGTCTCTGGCTGATTCATCGCTTCTAATGCAGAGTACTTGATTGCTTACTATTTCTTGATACTCAGCCAAATTATTCCATTGCTCTTCTATTAAATTAAGTTCCAAACCTGTGTCAGCTTTCTGAAAAGACTAATATGACCCTCTTTCCCAAATCGTGATGAGAACAACCTGGTTGTAACCCTTCAGTTCTAGAAATGCATTGCCTTAGACTTTGACACAGTTGCCTTTGCTGTGTAATTTTGAGTTGTCCGTTGCCTGACTCTGAATGTCCCGATGTTAACAGAGCCATACCCAGGATTTCCTATAGCCTGATCCCATCTGGGGACACTAGTGCACACTTAGCATGAACTAACTGCACAAGCAATATGTCTTTCCAGGGGGAAGTTGCTAGCTTCTGCTCTGGGTTGTTACAGGGTTTCTCAGTCAATGGTAGAGCAGTAGAACTGACATACACTTGCAATGCAAAGACATGCTCTCACCATCAGGCTTATTAAACTCTTTCTGTGACCAGGTACAGCAGTAATATCCTTTAAATTCTACATACATTGCACTTGCAATCATGTACTTGCAGTGGTTTATTGTGTCCTTCCACAATAGCAGTTATACTACAAAGTTTGTCTCGATCATTTAGATGAAACATTCCATTTATACAAGAGCTCATTTGATACTATATTAACTAATATTTAACAGCTAATATTAACTAATTTTCATGCTATGAAGATTCTACCACCAGTAAAATAAAGTTGCCATATGCAGGAAAGTGCTGGGGAGTTTTCTTATCCAAGGTGGTTGTTTTCTGGACGTTTGTGGACTTTTATAGGGACTTGGGAATTTAATTCCCAGTCCTATCTCAGCCAAAACATACAGGCCAGGTACTCTTTAAATACATATTTTACATTCTTAGGCTTATTAAAAGAAACAGAAATATCAGCCTGTAAAACTATTTGCCTGTGTAGCACTCTCAAGGAAGTTAGTCATAAAACCATAAAAGAATGACCTATTCTTATAGTGGTTTTAGGTAATTTTGGATTGCATACCAAAAAAAAAAAGTTTTGCATAGAATCCCATGAAATTCAAGTCACAATTCATCGTTAGCTTCATTTCTGTCTCTGGTTTCCACAGAATGTTCCTGTAAAGTTTTCTTATCCCATACTAGTAGTAGCCTGCAAATGAAACATGATGACACTTTCTTTTCAGTAGAGCTCGTTCCTTTCTCACAAGGTGATTTGAACAGTAGTTGGAGGATGGGCTGCAGCTATTTACATTAGCCAGTTCCAGTTTCCCCAGACTGACAGAAATTCCCATGGAAATTCTGGTTACATTAACTTTGACAGAGATATGGGACTGTTTTTGGGAACTTTAAAAAAACAACAACTAGGGAATAGTTTTCATTTTTATTAATATGCAGTATCTTCATTTTGTTTATTAAAGAAATAAATCAAGGTTAGTTTCTGCTTAGTTTCAGATGGTTTTCATCACAGGAGACAAAAAAAGAGAAGTCAGACAAATATTGGCCAAGCATCAACCCAGTAACAAATCCTATAATAGCAGAAATCCCGAGGTGGACGGCAATAAAGTGAATAGCATGAGAAACCAGAACATTAAAAATGAGTGTGTAGTTAGCATACTTGCTTCAGACATGGAAAATGATTTTGTGTTCTTGGAGATTAAACACACTTCGATGAGGAATTCTTACAGAACCATTTGATTCAGCTGACATCCCACCACATCTGTGTCTCTGCAGCCATCACAGTGTGCCAGTATCCCTTTTTTGTCCTTGTAGCTAGCTCTCAATTTGTATTACAAACTATATGCATTTGAAAATCTAAACATTAATTTTCACTGCATCAAGGCTTTCAACACCCCTGAAATTATCGCTTTCCTTCTCCCCATGGAAACTAATGCAAAAGGTCTGAGCTTGCAATTTCAGTGAAGATTAAGGGCACTTACAACCTCTGATTTTTGCCCATCCCTTGAGCTCGCA